TCTTTATTTCAATTTAAAACTTTTCTAAAAATGAATTTTAAATGAAGTTTCTCAAAGACTTGTTATTGAAGAATGAATCCTATATGCTTTCTTGATTAACCAATAGAACAATATGTAATACTCAGATCAAACCAATGTTACTCATGCAAACATGTTAATCAAAAACAATCTTTTCAATATACAATCAAGATATTACACAAAGTAAAAGATAAGGATAAGAGAAGATTGCACAAGTTTTTTATCCTGGTTCAGCCACTCCACATGTGACCTACATCCAGTCCTCAATCATAACCTGATCAAGATTTGTTCCACTATCTTAATGAAGAAGGTTTACAAGCATACCACACATGCATACACTCCTACATTCAAGATAACCACTTTCTTGACCTCGAGAAAGCACCCCTTGTAGAAACCCACTACAAGAATTCCTTACCACTTGAGAAATCTACTCAAGATTTACAAGTATTCACAAAGAATTAAGGAACGAATTCACCTGGAATTCAGAAGCAAATCTTAATCTTTTCCCTTTCAAGAATGTGATGATGATGATCTTTTCTCAAAGCTTTTCAAAAACGTTTTTCCTTCTTGGTTTCACAAAGAAAACTCCTAAGAATGTCACAAAGACTTCACAAACACGTTTTTCTTATTTTGATTCTCAATTCTAACTCAGTTCTAAAGTTTCAAAATGGTCAACTATTTATAAGTTTTTCAGAACCAGATAATCGATTATTTTAAAGAATAATCGATTATTTTGTTCTTCAGGTTTTCTGGAAATCAACCAAGAACAATTTAATCGATTATTTTGCTAGATAATCGATTATTCTAGAGAGTCATTTCTGGGATAATCGATTTTTTCACAAATAATCGATTATTGCTGCAAGGCATCCTTTTTTTCCTGTTGCTGGAATAATCGATTATATTTAATGATAATCGATTATTTTGAGTTAGTTTTCAAAACTTTATTTTAAGTCTCAAAATAACTTATTAACCTTTTAAACTCATCATCATACACTCCCTAATCAGATTAGACACAGATTAGCTTATGCACAAAGCACACACAAAAGATAAACTCAGTCATAGCAATCTAAAAGTTATTCCTATTACATAACATTTTCCTTTGACTTTGTTTTTGACTTATAAGTTGTTGATGTCCTTGGTCAGCATGTTCCATACATTTGTTATCATCAAAACTTTTAATCTTCAGAGGTGATCTCATCAATCTCAGGCTCCCCCAATCTCAACATTTTTGGCTTCTAACGCTCAAAGAAAGAACTTACAAAGGAAACCTTAGAGAAGAACCTTAAGGAATAGTGCTAAAAACTGTGAGACCACACCCTGTGCATTTGAGGTAGTCATTATCTAAGATAAAATGGGGAGTAAGAACTATCTCATATATGACATGTATGAGAATCATGGGTAGTATGATTGTCCTTTAATCCCTTAGGATTTTTTTGTATGTAATTGGAAGGATTATGAACACTTCTAAGCAAGTGATGGAAATGTGTTTTCATGTTTATTGTGTGGATTTGTTGTTTATGAAATTTATTTGTGTTAATTGATTTTGTTTGCCTCTTATAGGGTATGGTTTAAGTGGGTTAATTTGGGATTTGTATGAAATTGAGTTCTTAGGTGTGATCTGGAGTTAGAAATGTGATAGTTATTAATCAAATTAGAATGATACATATGTTTAGGTTGGATTTAAGTGAGAATTGAGGGTTTGTTCATCAAAAATTTTGGGTTTAAAATCGGATTTTTTCTTAGCGAAAAAAGGGTCTTGCTTAGCTAAAATGATGATATGAGTGAAGGTTGGTTATGTGAACCAAATATTCACTAAGCTAATTTTAGTCCATTTGATTCTATCAAGAAATTTGATTAGGTAAGTAAGATTTTGCTCAACTAATTTCAGTCCTTGTAAGTTTGTCCAGAAATTCACTAAGTGAGAGAGAGTCTCGCTCTACTAATGTAAGCCTCTAAAGTGTATCTTTCAATTAGTTTTTGTAATATTCATAAAAGTCATAGATCTAGATGTGAGCTAACCAATGGCTTTAGAATCACTAAAAAAATTATGTATAGAACTTAAGATATGATCAAATTATTGATAAAAGGTCAAGTTATCATCATTAGGTAAAAATGTTACATTTTTTGTATTTTTAAGTCTAGTATATGGTAAAAACAACAATTAAGGTTAGCATAGAAGTTTTAGATAATTATCTTAGCTTGCTAATGAAATTAAGATAAACTTGATAACATAAGTTGAACGTTTAACCCTAGATATTATGTTTATACCACACAAGGTCGTAGGATTTTTAGATAAGAAAATAGTATATAGGCATTTGAAGAGCATTTGTGAGTTATAATTGAAAGTGTTGAGAGTAAGAGTATTATGAATGAAGTATAGTGCTATGAGTTATATGTGTTGAAGTGCTAATCATGTGTCAAGAACTAAGTTATGCTTGGCACTACTAAAATCCAAGTTATGCTTGGTCATTGAAGAAGTCTAGACTTAGTCTAACAAGTGTTAAGTCTAGGCAATGTTAAGCCCTATACCATTTGTATGTTGTGTTGGGTGATAGAGTCCATGCATTTATGCATATTTTCTTTGGAGGTTCAATTGAGAATCTATTTGAGAGAGTCTCTATAATCTTCTACATTGGCTTAGAGAGTTTTAATAGTGGGAAACCTCTTATCAACATGTGTGATGAGTGACAATCATGGCCAGCTATGAAACTCCAATTACCTTATAATGTATCTTATTTTTAGTAAGAGTGAATATTTTGCTTACTCATTGGGTGGTCATTTTTCCACGTACTCCTAGGCTACCTTATATGTGTGATATGTTAGGAGCAAATGGTACCATATTCATGTAGAATTAAGTGTATAAGAGTGCATGTGTCAAGAGTCTTGAGTTATGTATTTGGTTGTGTTTGAGCCATGATATTGTGATGAGTTTTAGATGTCACTTGACTTTCTTATATGTGCTTTAATGTGTGTGAAATGTATTCTAACTCCTCTTTTCCATGTTGTTTTTGTTGTTGTTCTTGGACTAATTGTCATTACAGGTGAGCATGATCTTATTCAATAGGATGATGTTGTGGGCAAGAAAGCTTAGGCTTCATTGCCATTCTTTATGGGTTTACTCCAATAAGTTGTGGTATTGGGGTAGAGATTTAGTTGTTTTGTTTTTTGTCATGAACATGTTTAGATTAAAGGCTTTATTCTAGTGATGTTAGTTTTGTTTGGTATCAATTATTAGTATTTATGCTTTAAGAACTTTGGTAAGGGTCGTTTTGATATCCATTTATGATCTTTACTTATATTTCTTTTGTTAAGTTTTATTCAATAAAAGAAGTGATGTTACTCCTTTTATCCAAGTGTTTAATTTTCTTTTAAATAAATGTACTATCATTATTATATATTGAAGTTAAATTGAGTTAAGGTAAACAAGTGTCTCTCTCTCTCACTAAGGGACAAAGGCTTCTTCCTTAAAAATACAAATTTATTGCTTCAACTTATATTGTATATCAAAATACATAATTTTGAAAGCCTAGATAGGCTTAGTGAAAAATAAAACTTACATGTGTGTATTCTTGAGATAAGATTACAGTTGTAGTATTAAAAGTGATCTTAAAAATACTTGTAATAAAGAATGGTTATTGAACTCTGAGTTCGAGGATGATTGAATATAGCTCAAATTAAATGAACTAATAAAAAAGTACTTATGTTTTTATTCTCTATCCTTCCACCCATTGTTTCTTGGACAAAATGCTTTTAACTAATAATTGTTACTATTTTTTTTTTAAAAAGTTACGAAAATAATATACCAACAATTTAACTTTTTTGATCTTGTGTTCTCGGTTACTTCATAAGTGAAGAAAATACTTTGACCGAGGACGAGCTAGAAATGTCCTAATCTAAGCCAAATTAAAGATATTTTAATAAAGTCAAGTTGAAAATATTCTAACCAATATCAAACAATGTGTTGACTAAAGTCAAATTAAAGCCTTAGCCAAAACCTAGCTAAATATGTTAAAAGATATTTTAGCCTATGTCAAATTGAAATTTCTCTAGTCAAGACCAAATTGAAATTATTCTAGTCAATATCGTGTTAAAAATACTCTACTAAACTCAAGTTAAAATTATTCTAGTAAAATCGAGTTGAAGATTCCTCGATGCAAGTTGTGAACAAAATATTATGGTCAAAGTCAGATTGAAAATACAATTTTAAACAATTAAGAAAAAATATTTTAAAAGTCATTTTGTTAAACTGCCCTTTACTTAGTGGTCTTTCTGGGTTGAGGACTTTCGAACTCCTTCATTACGTGGGCTAAAAACCCTTATGGCCATTATAGTTTGTTGAATGGTCTAGCCCTAGGACTTTGGGTCAAAATGGTTGGCATGTCAACAATAGTGGACACCCCCTGTTAATGTCGAGATCGATTTTGTTCGTTGTAGCTTCGTTGTTACTTTTCTAATGCACCAAAAAGAGTCATGTGGACATTGGTACATTTGGAACTTCCAAAAGCTAGTTTTATGGCCTCGGAACCACTCAACAAAAATCCCACGCTCAAGTTATTTCCATGGCAAATGCATATAATCCCCAAAAAAGAGATTCACCAAATTGTTCACAGTAACAGCCTGAATTAGTGAATTTTCCTTTGATATTTCACATTAAAAAAAGGGAAGCGCGCAAAAATGTCGTGCCTAAAGGCATAAACCCTATGAAACCTTCAAAGGACTAGTTACAAATTCTTCTAATGTTTGAGATAAATGATGAAATGCTGTACTTTCCTCAGCTTTAACTGTTTTGTGAAAGAAAATAGAAGAGGGAAAAAAATAATTAATCAGGGGTAATTGCTTGAACCCCTATAGAATTTGAATGAAATACTTATTGTAGCCTTCTGTTTGCTGCTCAGAATGCATACCGGTAGATGGCATCTGCCACACCATCTTCATCATTGCTTAAACCAATTACGTTAGCCACAGCTTTGGTCTTCTCTGATCCATTATTAAGTGCGATGCCTAGAGAAGCCAGCTCAAGCATCTCCACATCATTTTCCCCGTCACCAATTGCCATTATCTGCATTTAAGAACATTAGAGCCAATAAAAAGAAGTAAATACACAGTAATAGATTGTAAGATTGGCACCTCAAATCATCAATATACTAGTACCCAAGGATGATTAATAAAATTTAAAAGATATACACCACACCATGCCAAATGCCAAATGCAATCATGAAAGCTTGTCATGAAAAACTTGGCTAGAGTCTAACAGTTTACATTTAAACAAGATTGGATTGGAAAAATAAAAAATGTTATGTATGTCATTCAACTGCTATATAATATTTTAACTCAAACCACCCCTTATACGTGAGTGAATATTGTTACTGTTAAGAGTTTGGGAGAGACAGACAGTGCAATCAGGTGAACTAATATCTGACGTACCTCCTTAGCAGTAACCCCCAAATGATCTAGCAGCAGTTTTACTCCGTTCCCTTTTGATGTTCCCAACGGTACAATTTCCAGGATGTCTGGCACAGCTTGAACAACAGTTGCACGACCCTTTGTAGCATCTGACCAGTATGGCCGTAAGGTATCAGCCACCCCCTGGGCAGTATCTAAGAAAAGAATTTTCTGTAGAATCAAAAGTAAAATTCAGCAATATCTACATGTGAAAAGTGAATGACAAACAGCAACAACAACCAAGCATTTCTTACCACGTGGGTTGGCTAACTACAAGGAACAAATGATGCCATAATATTCTACTGTAAATCTATTCTTGTCTACAGCCAAACCATTGACCTCTATATCCTTCTTACTCTACCTAGCCTCTCAGCTCTAGGGATTCAACTATCCTCCATTTGCTCTACACCCCTTATGAAGACTTCGGCAAGTTTTCTCCACACATGCCCAAACGACCTATGGCGAGTTTCTGCCATCTATTCTACCATAAGTGCTAATCCAACTTTTTCTATAATGAATTAAATTTTTATGCTACCTCTAGTATGTCTACTCATCCAATGCAACATTGTCATGTCCACTACATTATAATTATTATCTTGTTGGCTTTTAACCATCCAACAATCAGTTCCAAGCATCATCACAATTGTATACGAAGAAAATTTTCCTCTGCTGCAGTAGTGCAGTTAAGAACCTAACTAATTTTATCATTTTGCTTGTCTGTCATTTTTTACTAAAGTTTGAAGTGACAAACAAATATAATAATAGATTTATTTAAGTTCACAAGCTATTTGAGGACAGGGTGAAGTCAAACACAAAATCATGAAATATTTACTTGATACAATGAAACAATATAGGCACCTTCTAAGGGGAAAAAATATACTTCTAAGTTAGATGTCAAACTACAAATTATAAATCATTCCTCCTTTGCTGGCATGGAAGACCTTTAGTACACAATGAATAGCTGCCAATAATGAATTGTTAAGAATGCTATCATTCAGCATCCATGCATACAGTAATCAGAAGCTGAAACTAGAGAGCAAGGATTTGTGCTAGTGAATACCTGTATGCTAGCAGAAGCCAATAGATGTTCAACAGAAGGCATGACCTCAGCCTGTAAAGTATTTCTGGCTAAGACATAAAGTAAATGGCAAAATAGAATGCAAGGCAGCATATAGATTTCCAAAAATGAGGTACCTTTGGTTCATGGTATATTGTATGCAGTGAATCAACAAGCGGATCATGAAATAGGGTTAAGCAGCGCCCTTCACAAAATGCAATAAGTGGAACCTTGCTCTCCAAAGAGTAAAGACATGCCTGCATGTTAAAGAAACACAATTCTTTCTTTCATACAACAAGAAGAATGAAAGTCCTGAATGAGTGATCACTAATCAGGTATTAGAATAATTAGACTGAAAGTTGGAATCCTCAATCCTTTTGTTACGTAGAAAACTGGCATAAGAAAGTAATTCCACTGATTCCTGAAAGCAAGCTGGAACAAGTATGTTTTCCTTTTCTCATTTGAGTAAAATGAAAACAAAACTTGAAAAGCTTATAGTTGGAGAAACTTAAGCTGGTCACTGAAAGTTACATAAGCAATAGGGGGATACAGTGGTAAACAGTCAAAAAAGCCATAGCTTACTTTTGCAACCAGGTCAAAAAGAATAGAGCAGTAGAGGATAGCAGACTAAAATCCAATTAAGTATTTTTTGCTTCTTCTGGAGGAAAAGTTGTTTCAGGAAATGAATAGGAAGGATAAAAATGTTACCTCTCTACAGATATTTGGATCTAAGTTGCTCCTAAATATTTCCTGACCTTGTCTACCATAAACAAGCAATCCCTGAAATGACGTGGAAAGGATTAAGGAATATAAGGTGCAGCTAAATAGAAGTAACTTAAAACAAAGAAACTTTGGAAGAGGAAAAGTTATATACAAAATTGAAGTAACACTTCAAGGTGTTGGTAATTCAGTTAAATAATACAATGCTGTTTCATCAAGTTATTTTTTTTTATCAATATAGGCCATGTACCATTTCAATTTCTATTCTGCTTTAAAATGCACTGAATACAAAGTTTTGGTCAATAGTTAATACCGAATAAATCTCAAGCTTCCATCAAAGAAGCCATATATATGCCACTTATTCTGGATGTTCTGATTACCACCCTGTTCAAAGTTAGCATTGGTATGTTTTCCCCTTCCAAATGTCCTTTCCTTGCAATTGAAAGGAAATTGGTATCTGGAATGTTAAAAGAATGGATACGATTTCGCTTATAAATCAAATCATTCATTTAGAATAATAACAAGCAGGAAATTATTTGATTTTACAAATTTCATGGATTTCAATGGTTTAGTTTCAGATATATTGTAAAATAGGTGAGATTTGTTATACAATTAAATTTGATTTTAACTAAATATATTATTTTTCCTTTCCAGACTTGTTTTATTTTGCTCGTTAAAGATATAATACAAGGGCAAACCTTAGCACCATAGCTGTCAATCCCAAATAGTGGCATAGTGACCGACCCTCAACATGCTATACTGAGATAATGAGAATATGATGGGGGTGCTATTCTAACCAATAATAGAATAAAAAATTAAGGCTAAAACTTTGAAGAGAACACGGTGAGATGAAATGAACGACCTGTTTTAGAGAGATTAGAAAACAGAACAATGCAGGGAGAAAACAGAGTAAGGCGGTAAAAGTCATGCAAGGCCGGACAGAGTGACAGGTTTGCCAGAAAATGATCACATAGGTCAGGGATCACCAGAAATTATGCAAAAGGTGTTAAATGTCTAGCCAATCAGCTCCAAATTTGCAGAAGCTAACTATCAAGACTTAGGCTTGACATCTAGTGCATTGGAATATGAATGGCTAGAAGCAACACCATTGGAGTGTGTATTTGAGTAAGTAATACTCATAATCTTATTTTTATATTTTTTTATGCTCAAGCCTACTACTTTGTTATAGGAAAAAGCTAATTAACATTTTAATTATATCCGTTCAAAAAAGAGAAATAGGCTTGACCTCGTAAGTTTGTGTGATTTGGTTTGTGTCAAATATAAACAGCTCAAATAGAGACAGATGATATTACTGAAGATTCTAGGAATGAGCTGGTTTCTGATGATGATAGCACATTGAATATTTTTTTAGGCTTTGGGGGATGGAGAGCCTAGAACCTATGCTATGCAGAAAATGAGCACAAGAAAAGAGTCATTAAGTGGTGTTGCTGTTGTTGCGGCTGCCAAAGCTTCTAAGGAATGCCCAGGTGCAACTTCAACCTCAAGGGAAAGAGAAAATGGTTGAAGATGATAAAAAATTGGAATTTGATAATTCTAAGGAATCCAAAAAAGAATCCATTAGGTCAATCAGAAGGACAGAACCAGTGACCTAGCATGTATTCTCCATATATGTAGGTCTCAAGAGAATGAAGTATAGACATTAATCTAGGAAGGTGGAAGAATACATTAATAAATAGCATATAAATTAATAAATCCTACACATGTGGTTATCCATTACTCTCATTCTAAGAAATCTCCAAAATATTATCGTCTAAGGTCATTGTTGTCATCAGACACGGTTCGAAATTGCAGACCAGATCACCTGTATATCCACAATATCGCCATTGCCAAGCTACCCACAACCACAATAGCCCACAATTGCAGTGTGAAGTTCAATCACAGGTAATACTGCTACACAACTGCAAGAAAGCAGCAACACCCTGCTATTCTATTTTTTCTTGTCTAAAATAACAAAGTTTCAGACTTCAATGGTGTGGTCATGTACGATGTTGGGGGAGGGAGGGAGGCAACTAACACTTGCTGGTTGGAGTACTGGGAGGCTGTGTGGTACGTTCTAGTCAAGGGAAAAGGAAGTGCAGAGTGAAAAATTGTAAAAGAAAAGTTTATTGATTTTTATTATTATAGGATTCTTTTTTATGTTCAATGCAAACATATAATAATTTAATTCACAATGACCACAATTTGCATCACAACAACTGCAATGGCCACAACTGCGACTGCAATTTAGAACCATGTCATCAAATATCCATGCAGTGATTAATTTGGCTTTGGCAACTTTAGCATCTATTTGGTCTAAGGAAATATTTTCTGCTTTTACTAATAATTATAAAAATGCTGCTCTGATTTAAGGAAATATTTGTTCTAATAATTACAAATATTTTAATGCAATTTTAGTTTAGCTAGCAAACTATTCATAGTAAATTTTGATAGAGAATACTAAATAGGTGTTACGTGTATGCAAAAATGTTATACACGAACAAAGGTATGAATATATTCGATAATGTTTTCAGCTACATATAAGGACAGCCTTGCTAAATCAAGAACAAGAAGCATCATGAACATTAAAAGGGTACAGAAAAATTACCTGTACAAAAACCCCAGGAGAAAATTCTGAAACAATGCCATCTTTTCCAGCTAAATCTACCATTTTAAAGATGTCTATCACAGCTGGACGAGCCTATTCCCCAAATTTCAAAACTAATGATCAGAACATATTTTAAACCATATGAACCTATATAGAAATATATCAACTATATCAAGATACATAGCAGTCGCAGAAACCAAGGGTTGATATGTATTATCCAATATAGAATAAATTATCTACATTAACATGATACCCTGACAAATGATGCATATATTAATCTTACTTTTCCAGTAGCTATCACAATTTTCACACCCCTTGATGATGCCTCTCTCAAAGCATTGACAGTTGCAGAGGAAATTTGACATTTGCTGTTCAGCAATGTTCCTTTATATAAAACAGGAGTCTATTAAAATCCAGGAGAAAGATGAAGCAATATCAAAAGAGTTTTGCTGCAATCTTACCATCCATATCACAGAAGATATAGCTGAACTTTGGTTTATAAAATCTAAGACTGCCTTCTTTCTTCCTGTCTTTTGACAATTCATCTATAAGATTATTTCCCCATACATTTTATGCAAATGATAGTTACTTGAATTAGAGGGAAATATATAAAACCAATAAATTAAAATTATGCAAGTTGAGGATGCTGAGGCATACTAGTAAAAAATACAATTACCATCTGAACTGTCTTGGTGAAAATTTGAGTTTGTTTCAGCATCACATGCACTCTTTATTAGCCCTTTTCCCTTCCAATCAAGACTTCTTAAAAGGATTTCCTCCTCTCTTTCCATTTCTACTTCAGCCTTTTCGCTTATTTCATGATCAAATCCCAAAAGATGTAACAAACCATGAACCTGCAATTAGATAAAGTAATTGATGTTCTCAAGTTCATCCTTTCAGTTCAAACAACATAGACATAGTATTAGAAGATAAAATTCCAACATGCTCAGTGTAGTATCTATTTTAAACACACCACGCCAAGAAATAAATGAAACTCCAGCTCACTTTCCACTTATGCTGGCAGCAGAAGACAGGTACCATAATCTAACACAATAAACTTCAGTAACAAACAGAAAATAGTCAGAATATCATGAAACCAACCATGAGGATTCGGATCTCATCAAGAAGAGTGTGCCCTCTTTCCTCTGCTTGTCTTGCTGCTGTCTCAACAGAAATTACAATATCACCCAACATAAGCTGTAAACAATGGAATTCATCACACAGATTAGCATTCCAACATGTAAGTTCTAAACTTTATTGTCTACAACACCCTGCACAACTTATAATCAGCTTGACAATGCAATTCTTACAATAGGAATCTTGAGCCCAGGTACATGTTGTGACATTGAGAGAACATCTGTAGCATGATCTTCATCTCTCCATTCCTTATTAAGTTTTCGAATAAACTCATCATTGCAAAGAAGCACTGACAACTCAACACTATCAAACCCACCAACATCACTTATAGCAGTGTCTCTTGTTTTATACCCCGAACCCTTCAAACCATCAAACGCCAGTTTCATCGCCATAGGAACATTCAGTCGAAGCAACTCCGCAATGCTCTGCACCCAATAAAAACAAAGAGACCAAAAAGTGAATAATGTAGACCTCCAATAAAAATATTTCTTTCACATAAAAAGATCTCTTAAAAAATACAATTCTAGAAGACAGGTTTCGAAGATTTATGGAGTTTATTTGAACTTGTCATATAAGCACTTAGCAGTGTTTCATTAAGCTTATAAAAGTAAATTATAATCTTTCAAAGCACTATAAGCTCTCATGTTATATTGAGGGTCTGCTTGATTAAGCTTTTTTAGAAGCATTTCTTGGAGGAAAAAATATGAAGAAAAACAAAAATAAACTTCTCCATAAGTTAAAACTAACTCATGCACAAGTTAAAAATAAGATTTTGGAGAAGTTCATAGGAGTGAGCTTGTACAAATTAGCTTATGCATAAGCTAATTTTAGCTTATGGAGAAGATTATTTCATTTTCTCCTTCTATTTTCTTCATAGAAGTGCTTCTAGAGAAGTTTACTTAAACAAACCCTGAATAAACAACTAACTAAGGACCTGTTTGGGTAAACTTTCCCATAAGCACTTCCAGATAAGAAAGAAAAATGAAATAAACTTCTTCGTAAACTGAAATCTATAGAAATTTTCTCCTATTAGCTTCTCCAAAATCAAATTTTTAACTCATGCATAAACTAGTTTTGTCTTATGGAGAAACTTATTTCAATTTTCCTTCCTATTTTTCTCCCCTATAAGTTCTTATGGAGAAGCTTATCCAAAGGCATTATTTGGATAAACTTTTGAATAAGTACTTATAAGAGAAGAAATAAGAAAGTAAAATAAATTAAGCTACTGCAAAAACAACTTCCGCATTTCAACTTTTATAAAAGTTCTCTAACTTAGCTTCTCCAAAAAGTTTATTTTATCTTACACAAAATTTTATTTTAATCCAAACAAGACTTCCGACCAAACTCACATGCAATCTCATAAGATTTCAGTTAACCAATGTAACCACGCATGCCACTCTACTTCAATCTCGACACACGAGTCATCCTAATTAACCCATTCTCCTCGTTGAGACCTAAAAGCTGAGTACCACACAGCATCTCAAAGTTCCCAAGCCAAAAGAAACAAACAAAACAAAAATCCGAGAGCACAAAATTTTGATTCCGTTACCAAGATTTCAGGATCATCAGGCAAATCCTCTTCGAGGCAAATGTCGACGCAGAGTTGCAACTCCTTCTCTTTGTTCTTGGGCGCTCTTCTCCTCGTCTTGCGATACTCCCTCTGTCCGGCGCGGACTCCGGCAACGGGCCTCGCGGCGGCTTCGCAGCGGCACCGCGCGAGGGCGTGGAAGGTGCGGCCGAAGAGGGCGGATTTGGCGGGCAGAGAGAGGCGACGCGGGGCGGCGCCGGCGGGCGCGGGGAGGAAATGAGGGAGCTGAGTGGCGCACGTGACAGCACGTGCCATGGCGTGGAGGGGAGGAGGGTGGCGGAGGAGGTGAGCGAAGCGGGGAAGCATGTATGGACGGAGTTGCTTCTTTGAATGGTCTGAGCGAGCGATGCAGCGCTACAGCAACCTCACCGTGCTAGCCTTCCAACCAGGGAGGTAGGAGGCTAGACAAATACCAAAGTTGAATGAAACTGTTTATTTATTTATTTATTTTTCTTCTTCTAATTCTTGCTTTTTAGCCTTTTGTGTTTTTAGGCAAATTCTTCCCCTGCCTTTATATTGCTCTGGGTTTGGTACTTTCTCTTTTTTCAATCAATCAATAAAGGCATCTTATTTAAAGATGGTATGTCCAAATAGCATGTGATTGTAAAAATGAAGTAGGAAGTGTTGAATGGTCTAGGGTAATTTTAGAAATATAAAATAATTTAACATTAGAAATATAAAATTAAATATTTCTATTATATTAATATAAAAAAGATAGAACCACTAGGGTTAGCTTAGTGGTTAGATGAGGAGGATGAGGACCTAGGTTCAATCCTCGTTGTCACCATCTTTGTAATTTTTCCTATTTTTACAAAAAATATATATATATATATAAAAGAGATAATGTTATAAAAAAAAAATTAAAAATAAGATTAAAAGGATTAAAAATATATAAGTATAAGGACAAAAAGCTATCTTAAATTATAGAGTTTAAAAAAATTATGTACCTGTATAAGGATACACCAATGATCTTCTTGTATTCTGAAGGCCGAACGAGTGTTCTGAACGAGTATTCCGATCCAACGTGAGTAGACGAGTTTGTACCTGCAAAAGGCACTCCGATGTTCAAGTCAGCACAAACACGGAAATCTAGAGTAATTAATGAACAGTGACGTTACCTTATTGACCTGAGCTATTTATACTAACAATCGTGGGCCCTGGACCTTATGGGCCCTGTAACATACTTACCGTATTAAGTAATACTTCTTAATCAGCTAATTAACCCTTAATCATTTATTAAAGATAATTAATAAAGATAAGCCGATCTAGGTGACTGATTGGCAATCGGCCACCTGGTTCGGCCATTCGGCGGCCGATTATTTGATTTTAATGGTTTAGTTTCAGATATATTGTAAAATAGGTGAGATTTGTTATACAATTAAATTTGATTTTAACTAAATATATTATTTTTCCTTTCCATACTTGTTTTATTTTGCTCGTTAAAGATATAATACAAGGGCAAACCTTAGCACCATAGCTGTCAATCCCAAATAGTTGCATAGTGACCGACCCTCAACATGCTATACTGAAATAATGAGAATATGATGGGGGTGCTATTCTAACCAATATTAGAATAAAAAATTCACCAAATTGTTCACAGTAACAGCCTGAATTAGTGAATTTTCCTTTGATATTTCACATTAAAAAAAGGGAAGCGCGCAAAAATGTCGTGCCTAAAGGCATAAACCCTATGAAACCTTCAAAGGACTAGTTACAAATTCTTCTAATGTTTGAGATAAATGATGAAATGCTGTACTTTCCTCAGCTTTAACTGTTTTGTGAAAGAAAATAGAAGAGGGAAAAAAATAATTAATCAGGGGTAATTGCTTGAACCCCTATAGAATTTGAATGAAATACTTATTGTAGCCTTCTGTTTGCTGCTCAGAATGCATACCGGTAGATGGCATCTGCCACACCATCTTCATCATTGCTTAAACCAATTACGTTAGCCACAGCTTTGGTCTTCTCTGATCCATTATTAAGTGCGATGCCTAGAGAAGCCAGCTCAAGCATCTCCACATCATTTTCCCCGTCACCAATTGCCATTATCTGCATTTAAGAACATTAGAGCCAATAAAAAGAAGTAAATACACAGTAATAGATTGTAAGATTGGCACCTCAAATCATCAATATACTAGTACCCAAGGATGATTAATAAAATTTAAAAGATATACACCACACCATGCCAAATGCCAAATGCAATCATGAAAGCTTGTCATGAAAAACTTGGCTAGAGTCTAACAGTTTACATTTAAACAAGATTGGATTGGAAAAATAAAAAATGTTATGTATGTCATTCAACTGCTATATAATATTTTAACTCAAACCACCCCTTATACGTGAGTGAATATTGTTACTGTTAAGAGTTTGGGAGAGACAGACAGTGCAATCAGGTGAACTAATATCTGACGTACCTCCTTAGCAGTAACCCCCAAATGATCTAGCAGCAGTTTTACTCCGTTCCCTTTTGATGTTCCCAACGGTACAATTTCCAGGATGTCTGGCACAGCTTGAACAACAGTTGCACGACCCTTTGTAGCATCTGACCAGTATGGCCGTAAGGTATCAGCCACCCCCTGGGCAGTATCTAAGAAAAGAATTTTCTGTAGAATCAAAAGTAAAATTCAGCAATATCTACATGTGAAAAGTGAATGACAAACAGCAACAACAACCAAGCATTTCTTACCACGTGGGTTGGCTAACTACAAGGAACAAATGATGCCATAATATTCTACTGTAAATCTATTCTTGTCTACAGCCAAACCATTGACCTCTATATCCTTCTTACTCTACCTAGCCTCTCAGCTCTAGGGATTCAACTATCCTCCATTTGCTCTACACCCCTTATGAAGACTTCGGCAAGTTTTCTCCACACATGCCCAAACGACCTATGGCGAGTTTCTGCCATCTATTCTACCATAAGTGCTAATCCAACTTTTTCTATAATGAATTAAATTTTTATGCTACCTCTAGTATGTCTACTCATCCAATGCAACATTGTCATGTCCACTACATTATAATTATTATCTTGTTGGCTTTTAACCATCCAACAATCAGTTCCAAGCATCATCACAATTGTATACGAAGAAAATTTTCCTCTGCTGCAGTAGTGCAGTTAAGAACCTAACTAATTTTATCATTTTGCTTGTCTGTCATTTTTTACTAAAGTTTGAAGTGACAAACAAATATAATAATAGATTTATTTAAGTTCACAAGCTATTTGAGGACAGGGTGAAGTCAAACACAAAATCATGAAATATTTACTTGATACAATGAAACAATATAGGCACCTTCTAAGGGGAAAAAATATACTTCTAAGTTAGATGTCAAACTACAAATTATAAATCATTCCTCCTTTGCTGGCATGGAAGACCTTTAGTACACAATGAATAGCTGCCAATAATGAATTGTTAAGAATGCTATCATTCAGCATCCATGCATACAGTAATCAGAAGCTGAAACTAGAGAGCAAGGATTTGTGCTAGTGAATACCTGTATGCTAGCAGAAGCCAATAGATGTTCAACAGAAGGCATGACCTCAGCCTGTAAAGTATTTCTGGCTAAGACATAAAGTAAATGGCAAAATAGAATGCAAGGCAGCATATAGATTTCCAAAAATGAGGTACCTTTGGTTCATGGTATATTGTATGCAGTGAATCAACAAGCGGATCATGAAATAGGGTTAAGCAGCGCCCTTCACAAAATGCAATAAGTGGAACCTTGCTCTCCAAAGAGTAAAGACATGCCTGCATGTTAAAGAAACACAATTCTTTCTTTCATACAACAAGAAGAATGAAAGTCCTGAATGAGTGATCACTAATCAGGTATTAGAATAATTAGACTGAAAGTTGGAATCCTCAATCCTTTTGTTACGTAGAAAACTGGCATAAGAAAGTAATTCCACTGATTCCTGAAAGCAAGCTGGAACAAGTATGTTTTCCTTTTCTCATTTGAGTAAAATGAAAACAAAACTTGAAAAGCTTATAGTTGGAGAAACTTAAGCTGGTCACTGAAAGTTACATAAGCAATAGGGGGATACAGTGGTAAACAGTCAAAAAAGCCATAGCTTACTTTTGCAACCAGGTCAAAAAGAATAGAGCAGTAGAGGATAGCAGACTAAAATCCAATTAAGTATTTTTTGCTTCTTCTGGAGGAAAAGTTGTTTCAGGAAATGAATAGGAAGGATAAAAATGTTACCTCTCTACAGATATTTGGATCTAAGTTGCTCCTAAATATTTCCTGACCTTGTCTACCATAAACAAGCAATCCCTGAAATGACGTGGAAAGGATTAAGGAATATAAGGTGCAGCTAAATAGAAGTAACTTAAAACAAAGAAACTTTGGAAGAGGAAAAGTTATATACAAAATTGAAGTAACACTTCAAGGTGTTGGTAATTCAGTTAAATAATACAATGCTGTTTCATCAAGTTATTTTTTTTTATCAATATAGGCCATGTACCATTTCAATTTCTATTCTGCTTTAAAATGCACTGAATACAAAGTTTTGGTCAATAGTTAATACCGAATAAATCTCAAGCTTCCATCAAAGAAGCCATATATATGCCACTTATTCTGGATGTTCTGATTACCACCCTGTTCAAAGTTAGCATTGGTATGTTTTCCCCTTCCAAATGTCCTTTCCTTGCAATTGAAAGGAAATTGGTATCTGGAATGTTAAAAGAATGGATACGATTTCGCTTATAAATCAAATCATTCATTTAGAATAATAACAAGCAGGAAATTATTTGATTTTACAAATTTCATGGATTTCAATGGTTTAGTTTCAGATATATTGTAAAATAGGTGAGATTTGTTATACAATTAAATTTGATTTTAACTAAATATATTATTTTTCCTTTCCAGACTTGTTTTATTTTGCTCGTTAAAGATATAATACAAGGGCAAACCTTAGCACCATAGCTGTCAATCCCAAATAGTGGCATAGTGACCGACCCTCAACATGCTATACTGAGATAATGAGAATATGATGGGGGTGCTATTCTAACCAATAATAGAATAAAAAATTAAGGCTAAAACTAAGGCACGTCCTTAGCCGAGTTGAACAATTCGGGAGGGAAGCCTGTTGCAAGATTTGAGCAGCTGTTAAGAATTGACACACTAACACAATAGAATGGAAGAACTGAAGTAATTTCATTAATGGGTGCCTCGTTAAAAACCTTGTTGGCCAAAACCCCTTTTCACTTTTTTACAAGGGGAGAAAAGACCGATCAAGGAAAAGAGTACACCCTCTGTTTACACAAGGTCTTTTTACAATGTATACTAGCTATAATATGTCTTCAAATGAGAAGCGTTCCAAGTTCTGGGAATGACCTTGCCTGAGAGTTCTTCCAATTTGTATGCACCGTTTTCCAAACTATGTCGGACCCGAAATGGGCCATCCCAATTAGCAGCCAACTTGCCTTCTTTCGAATTACGCCTTGCCGATCCTTGCACTCTCCACACTAAGTCGCCCTCCTTGAAACTTCTTTTAATAAGGTTGTAATTAAACCTACGAGCCATCCTCTGTTTGCAAGCTTCAGCTATAATCTCTGTTCTGACACGTACTTCATCGACCATGTCAACCTCAGCTCGGAGAGATATATCATTGGTATTTTCATCAAAATATTGTCGCCGAAAAGATGGTTCTCCTACCTCAACAGGTATCATGGCATCAGTGCCATATGTTAGCCGAAAAGGTGTTTCTTTAGTCGTGGACTGAGGCGTGCACCGATAAGCCCATAAAACCTCTAATAATTCTTCCGCCCAAGCTCCCTTAGCGTCTCCCAATCTTTTCTTCAATTCACCAAGTATTACTTTGTTTGCTGCTT